TGGATTACACTGAATGGTAAACACACTAATGATATACAGGACAAGGCAACTTTTGATTTGCTAGGATTGGTGTGTGACACTTATCACGGAACTAAACCTTCTGCTTGTCAGAAACACGAACGGGTACATTCTCGCTGCTACAAGAATGCGTGAACAATAGTTCGGAATGAGGAAGTCAGTATTGTAATTTGAAATCAGTTTTTCCCTGTTTACGATTTTCTTGCACCATTGTTACGAAAATTGCTGCAAGAATTTTAAGTCTACATTGGGTTTCTTTTTCGCTTTATGTTAAGTTGTAAAATTGAAAAGTGATATCCTTGTCGATTTACATTAAAAAAGTTAAAGTTACTAAGTCGTGTAAATCTCTTTGCGGTGAACCTGTATGTTCAGTATTTTCCCTGCGCGCTGTAATATGGTTTTGAGTCAAAATTATAATAAATAACATACAATTTACAACCCAGCCGGTTTTCTACTTCAGTTAGCTCGTCACGCAATCTGACTCGGCGATTACGTAACGCCTCAAACGAGTATGTAGTAGGCTATCGGAAAAAAGGGGGTGGGGGGGGGGGGTTCTCTCGCCTTTAATCATCACGTCCATTGTGTTTCACTTTGCTCATACAATTTCCCTAGTTGATCTTAGTCGTATAGTTGCAGCTTGCTTTCTCTTTTCCTATCGATGATCGTAAGCGTTATTTACGGACAAATATATTTCTATTATTTCTTTTCTTTTTTAGGGGCCGGGGGGGACGCGGTTGCGAAGAATTAACTGCACGGATTTTTTGTACAATGGGCTCCTGATGCTAAGGGATGCTTGAGTATTCGATCTTGTCGGCCAGTCACCCTCCACACTAACAATCCCGTCCAAACTTGGCCTGTCAGCACCCCTCGAGGTTTTCGGTATCCGGCCTTTAATTATACCCCCACTGGAAAGCATATCACTGAAAAGGTAGAGCTACAACTGAATAGCCTGCATTGAGCACAAGGCTAAGCTTTTGAACGCGCCTCCCCGCGATAGAAATCGGAAAAGACTGCTGGGCCGGTGTAAACACCAGGGCGGGGAGAAGTATCTTATCCTAACAGTCCCACATTTATATAGTTAAGGTCGGTAAAGTTACATTATACACACACTGGGATTCAAAGATGTCCGGACATGGCCTTTTATC